CTGGTCTGCGTAGGGTAATTCCATCCCAGACTTCTGTAAGAATAGAGTCTGTGCATAGTGACAGCCTTTGTTTGTCAAGAGCAAAGAGCTTATGCTATGTGAACTAAGACGTGTTTCTCCAGCAGGCAGTAAGGACTCTTAACATGAATTCTCTGGAAACAAAACATCATGAAAATGATGAGCTACACATGTTCAATATAGTACTTATTCCAGTAACATCTGCAGGAATGTAATAATAGTATTTTGAAAAAATAAAGTATCAAATGATTGTCTATTTACCTTTTCTGAAACAGAAGAAAATGAATTCTTTCAACATAAAAAGTCTTACATTGTGCATTTTATACCAAACTAGGCAAATAAACACGTTGTTATATTTGACAAGGGAGAACAAACACAAAAAATCTTTTGAACTGAAATAAGAAAAAGAGAAAGCTTTCTTTTCTTTTGAAAGCAAAGGCCATTTTCAAATACAGAACTTCAGAAAACTTTTTCCCATCTTGAAATAGAGTTTCTTTGAAGTCATTTAATATGTCTTCTACAGTTTTAGTGACAATGATTTTCGTAAGTCTTAGAATATTGCCTTTTTGCACGTCTTTGTAGCATACTGTCAATGTAAATATACAATTTTACATGTTCTAATACTTCAGTCTACAGCATATAAGTAGGCTAAACAATTTCATAGATTCATAGATTTTCTAGGTTGGAAAAGACCTTAGAGATCATCCAGTCCAACCGTCCCTAATCTCCCATTAAACCATATCCCTAAGTAGTTCATCCACCTTTTTCTTAAACACATCCAGGGATGGGGACTCAACCACCTCCCTGGGCAGCCTATTCCAGTGGCTGACAACCCTTTCAGAGAAGAAATTCTTTCTAACATCCAACCTGAATCTCCCCTGACTAAGCTTATACCCATTTCCTCTTGTCCTGTCACCCATCACTAATGTAAAGAGCCCTTCCCCCACCTCCCCACCTTCCCTTTTTTAGATTTATAGTGTTTGAACAACTTCAGCAGGGTTCCTTTTAAACTTAGTACTCTGCACTAAGTGTTACAATTTCAGGGCCTTGGTGAGAAAAATCTAATGTGCAGTGTGACCTTAGAGAGTGAATTCCAACTTGGATGTTACAGGGTTTGTTGTGCAGAAGACTTCTGATGGATTATAATAGTGGTCTGTCCACTCTTACAGTTCTTACATAGGCACAGCTCATGTTTGTTACAGGAGACCTATTTCCACTAAGATAAGACATAAATTTGCCAGCTAATGACGACTGGGATGAGGAGAATTAGAAGTAGGAGGTATAAAATATGTTTCTGTTAATGTTTCTGGTTACATTAAAAAATACAGAAGGATAGCTACATATTGTGTCTATGCATGTGTTATACCTCTTTCTCCTACTTTGCAAATGAGATTTGTCTGATTTAGGATATACATTCTTTTACTTTTTTTTAGTTTGTTTTGTGGCCTCGCTAACTGAGTGCTATGAGAGATGTCCGGTGGTATGAAAAGGTGGTAATTGGCTTCAGTGGGAGTTTTCTCTAAGTGAAAGAAGTAGACAAGTCTAGTGTATAAACCAGCCTTTGCCAGTGTTGACATTCATCTCTCTTTTGTTTGGAGGTTGTTAAAAGCACCTGCAGAATATTCTGTTGTCCAGTCTAAGAAAATAAATTTTTATGTGTTAGAAAATTGAGAAAAATATTTAATCACTGTATAAAGGGTTTATCTAAAAATACTCTTCCTTTAGCTTGTACCTTTTTAGGGCAGTTTGTGAATTTTGTATCTATTATAATTCCATTTTATTTTTGCAATAAAGAGAGTTTATACCTTTACCATGTTTACCAGTAAAGATGAGATTTTTTCCAGATAATTTAACTTAAAAATTAACGATCATTTTCCTTTCCAGTTAATGCATTTGTATTTGCAAAAATATAAAATTTTTAGTATTTTACTTACAATTTTGAGTACCAGAATGTAACGTTCTTTTTACTAGTAAATATTTTGGTTTGTGCATTTGGAAAATGACTACTGTCTTTTGAATCATCATATAAGTGGAAATGCTATAGTATTAAATGCACTATATATATGTCCAAATCAAAGGCCGTATTTATTTCTTATTCACTGGGTGTATGAGTTGGAGTTTCATGTTTCTGTTCTTGATTTTTAATATGACTAGTGCTAAGTTCCTAGAATTAGGTAACAGGTCTAAAAAGCAATATTTTAATACAGTGTTAGCAAAGAATTTATTTTAATTTCCTGTCACAGCTACTGACCTCAACTTTTATGGCAATTCCTGGGTTTATCAGTAGTACCAGAATGAACTCAGTTTTCTCCTGGGAGACCAGCTTTCTTCTTCACTGAGCTACTTCTGAGCCTGAGCTCGTCATCTCCATCCTTGCTCTGCCTCTTCGATTTGTGTACATTGTAAGTCATTCAGGGCCTTTCAAGAGTCTAGAAGAATGGGGGTCCCTCCTTATGTGGCCCCTACTGAAATGCCAGCACTGACGTAAAACTGTCAGTAACCATTTTTTCGTCTTTCATTTGGTGCTGCCCTTCAACGTTTCCTTTTAGCTTTCAGTAATACATTTCTGTTATTAATCATGTGTTGTTATGTTCAGAGTAATAGATACAAAAATCCCTTTCTCTACGAAGACTATTTTAATAAGAATATTTTAAGGAATCTGATTAATTAAAAAAAAAGAGAACAAAAAGTTAAAGAGAAGAAGTAAAATGGATTTACATTTATAATGCCATTTACAGTTCTCAAGTGTGCTCTGCTTCCCCCCCCCCCCCGTTTTTCATTTTACCCTTCTAGGAATGCTGACTATATTCCTTGGAAGAAAGAAGAGTCTAGTTAGACAGAAGGAGATCCTCCTAAGGCTTTTTAGATCACAGCTTTTTATATGGGTAAAGATGCAATTAGACCATTTTCCATACACTCTCAAGGATACATTAACTTTCTAACAACTTCAAATACTACAATAGGAATGATGGGACAGAGGTTAGGAACAAGGGGCAAGGGAATAATTTAGTCCTATTTATTATAGTGTTTTTTTAATCTTGTCCACTAATATGTCAGGAACTACCCAAGCAAGGACATTATACCTCTCAAGTATTGCTCTTTGAATTAAATAGCTGAAGAGCAGATTTTAATGCCAGCCTTGCAGATTCAGCCATGTACAGGTTTTAGGTGCCATGTCATCTCACCTTTATCTACATGTCTTTGGCGAGAATCCTAAAGCATTGTTGGCCAACAAGTATATGATTAATACAGAGGTTTTTCAATGTGCTTGGCAGTCCTTGTACAATTACCTCACACTGACAGCTGTGTCTGATCTTCAGTCAGTTCTGCTTTTTCTGTACAATTGGAATTCCTTTTATTTTTGCCTTGAGTATTCTCGAGCTGCTCAGGGGTGGTTCAAATGGAGCCTTCACATACTCTTGCATTTCTTTTCTTTTCATCTTTGCTTTTCTTTTTCTTTCATTATCACAGAAGGAGATCATAGACACTCAAGTGCACTGGATGTGAAATACCAAAATGCAACTGAAGTAAATTAATAAATATCTTAACTCCGAGTTTCTCATGCTTTGAAATAGAGAAAATGAAAAAAAACAAAACAAAAAAAACCCGAAAAACCCTTTGAAAAACAGCTTCATGAATCAGTGAGAATTAAGCATCTTAAAAACCCTAAATCATACACTGAAGCAGAGAGGCAAATTGGAGAATTATATTTCATAACTGTAGTGGAATTTGGAAATTAGGGGTACAGACTGTGAGGATGGACAAAGATGAGACACGAAGACATGAGGAAGGAATCAGCTGAAATAGCTGTTAATATTCAAATAATAGCAAATGAGTAGGAGATATGAGTGCTGTAATTAAAAAGATACAAAAGCATACAAAGGAAATTGAAGTTCTCTTAGGAATAATTCTGCATCAACTGATTATGTTGCTACATGCAATATTTTACATAGGCTGTTTAATCACACTTCATAAATAAATGTAGATGTAGGTGTTTTTATCCAATGCTATTTTTAAGTTGTAAGAGACAAAGAGACATTTAAGCACTTAGAACTGACGATTATACTGCAATGATAACTCACTGAATGATATTATTAGGAACTACTGAGAATACTTACACCATTTTGAAATACATTTCAAAATCTTAGTATTAACATTGTAGTATCATTTCAAATCATTAATACATTTCTGTGTTAAAATGAACGGCAAAAAAATGATAGGTGAAGTTCAGTACAAAAACTGATTTCAGTCTAAATGGTAATTTTTAAAGGAAGTGTAAGATTTCTGTCACTAAAATCTATTGTGTGAGTGGTTTCATACAGCACTAGCTGTGGGCGTACAATCAGCATAACTGTACTAAATTAGAATAAGCTTTCTTTCTCTTGAAGTTATGTTCTCATGCTGAAACACTTCAAGAGACTGGTATTTCACAACACTTCAATAATAAGTTGCCTAAGTAAAGATAAAGTTTAGGAATTAAATAAGCAGTGCTTGTTTTTCTAAGCAGAATATGATTTCCTAAACAAAACACAATTAGTAGGGTGGGAACTTCAGCCTGTGCACTAAAAGGATATTTCTGCCTTCTCTTTTCCACATGCTATTTACAATTTCATGGACTTCGTTACTAGCAAATAAATCTCTTCTGTTGTCATTATGTATATACTAGAAAATCTTAAACACTTGAAAATAAAATACAAAGATAAAGTTCATTTCAAGAAAATAAAAATCCTCTATTTTATAGTACTTTGCCATTTTTCATAACTTATTTTACTTTGTTTTTAAAGAGCAGATTAAGAATTTCAAAACAGACATTATAATAATCTATATCACAAAAGCGAAACAAAACCTGATTTTTTTTTTCATAAATTATACATTAACCATTGGGATAGCATTGTTTTGTGACAAAATTTAGATTGTTTCTGCCAGGATGAGTTTAACAAATAGTGTTCGATACATTATCCCAATAAAACTGTCTCTTCCAGAAGGTAAAGCAGAAAACATAGAAAAGTACTTGTTATATTGGGAACTGCAGTTCGGAACAGTTGGGAATTGCAAGAAAGTAAAAAGATGAGAAGCATAAATGCAGACAGGTTTTCATGATGTGTTAGGAAACGAAGATAAAGTAGAAACTGCAAGACTGCATGTAACCCTAGTTAAGCTTATTTATCTAGTAACAGTAGAACCTGTTGGTCCTGTTGTTTCATAGAAACTGTATCATCCTGTAAAGCTGTGCAAAGCAAATTTTAGGTGTTAACACACTAGAAATTTTAGTAACTTGGCTAGAGTTGAACTATGTAAGGTCTAACGTTAAAGATAGTGGAGAAACTTGTCCCATTCTCTTGAACTTTCTTGGAAACCTCTGTGAACATACAGAAGGATAACTCAGTGAAATCCTTTCATCTTGCTTCTACTGCAGGATATTTTTTCTGTAACTACCAAAAAAGGGAGCATTAATAGAAAACATTCAATGTTCTGTATTTTGGAAATCCTGTTTCCTAGCTACACTTAATTGCTTTGTTAGTTAAACAACTCAAAAAATTTCTTTGAAACACTGTTGAGCCAGTAAGAGTCTTAATGGATCTGTGAATAGGATGGTAACAACAGTAAGGCTTGCCTGAAGCTTTTCTCTCATCCAGAGAGAATTAAGTCATGATGAAGGAAGTTGTAGTTGATCTAATTATAAATATATATTTGTTGTGTTTTATACTTTTTTACTACTCAATAGAATATTTTCAGTATACCAGATGTCCATATGTATTGCCATTTTTTACATTTGGAAGTTAAATAGAAAGGAAGAAAATCCTTTACAAACAAAGTTCAAAATAGTACAAGTGCTCCAAATGGTACAGGCCGCTACTATTGCAGTATTACAATACACAAAATAGAAAAGTGCTGAAGTCCAGTTCCTCTACAAAACTTAACAGCAGTTTGCTGAAGGTCTTACAAAAAGGTCCAAATAATTATAGGACAGGAAATAACATATGACTTCCAAGACTAAGTTAAGAACTAAGAAATTAATTCTAACAAAATATTAAAAAACAGTAGCATTGGGTTCCCAGAAGTAGAAAGGTAATCTGACGTACTTAATGGAAAGTTTAGTCTTGTTCAGTTGATGATAAAGTGTAAGACTTTGCATTTACTCAAATTTAAAATGTTTTACCAATATAGACCTGAGTCTTTGTATTCTCCTTTGGTAGACAGCATGGAGTGAAAAATTCTATGCATATTGAATTTGCACTTGTTTCCCAAAGTGTTAACCTCCTCCACAGGATTTCAAGTATATAATAAACTGAGGTCAAGACAGCTTCTCCATATAGCATTTCTGCCTGTTCGAGGAGTGAGAAATTAGCCACTGAAGTTAGTCAGTCATGAGACATCTCCGTGGTCACAAGACGAGTTAGTACATTTATTGAGGAATTGCTTAAAGTATGTGAATATTTAAAAGAATTCTCCCAGCTATGTTTTAAGATCGACAAAATTCCTTCATTTTTCAAAAGATGTGAAAAAAATTGTAGCGGAAAAAAAAGTGATGAAAATTTGGGAAGTTTCTATTAAAATACTCTTCTAGGAGAGGAGATATTATGACTATCAGAAAAATGTTCTTTAATGTCAAAAAAAAATGGTAAGGCTGGATTAGTTTGTTTAAACTCTTCTTCAACTCTTCCATGTAACTATGACTATTATTAAACTCAGTCAGAGGGAAATAACAGGAATTTGTTCTGTGGCTAATGGCTGGAATTGTTCTTTTCTGGTTTATTCAGCATTACATGTTTCTGTGTAATACACACTTTGTCCTACCCTGCTATTTATAACTGCATGATCTTGATGCAAATGTTTCCTCACTTTAACCAGATGTATCCAATTTATGGGGACAGTGAAAAATGACAGCAAGTATTTTCAAGCTACTTTAATCAATATTTTATCTGTGTAGGTCTCCAATGAACCATCCTGTTCCACAAGGCCGAACTAGGATACAACTTTTCATGTTGTTCATTATGCTGCTTTAACTGTATTATGTCTCCTATATTCTTTTCTTCCACATTAAAATTATATCGTGATTTATAGAATCTTGTTCAAGAACATAACAGAATTACTATTTTTTCTTCAATCATTTATTTTGGTGCAATATTTGCAGCAATTTGTTGTATTAAATGTGTGATCTAGTCTTTTTAAGAGATTAGCTTAGAGTTAAAGTCATAGCTATTTAACTAATAGGTTCTAGGATTATACTCCAGCATAGCTGCAGTTCAGCTTATCAAATGACTATCTAGAACTGCCCATTTTGTTAACTTCTTGTGGGAAGGAGAATTCTATCTGACTGGCTCCTCTATATTGAATTATAACGTGATTGCTTCATGCACTGTTGAACTCTTGTGCTGTTTGCGGTGAAATCTTCCATAAAATACCCATACTTAAAATGTTTCTTGAATGTTTTTGGAGATTTATATCGTTTAGAACAGCTGCTATGTTGTCAGATAGAAGCACAATATGGTAATTAATGAGCTGTATTGTATTAAGTATATCTGAAAAGAGGTGCAGGCTTTAACAGAATTCCCAGGAGTTTAAAATGTAGCTGATAAATATATGAACCTTATAGCAATATATTCAGCCTACAATTATTATTTTTTTTTACCCAACAATGCGCTTGAGAGTGGACTGGGTATGGAAAAATAAATAGAACTCAAGGCAATATTGTAGATATGTGGTCAACTTTGAATAGACACAAAAAATTCTGACTTAGAGCATTAGTTTACCTCTCTTTTTCTCCTACTTTACATTTTCCATAATTTAAATGAAGATAGTGCTTTGCCTGATTATCTTGTTCAATGGCGTCATAAAATCTTCAGAATTATGCATGAGTATAGTGCACTAATATTGAGGTTGTAGCTCAGTGGGTAGCAACTTTAACTTGCATGGATGATTAGTTTGCCTAGAGGACAGGATGTAAATTAGAAGGGATAACTTGAAAAGATCAATGATTTCATCTTTCTAACTCAGTTTGTAAAGTTTTATTTTGAAAAATTTTAACCTCTGTACTAGAAGGACTTATTAATATGAATCCTACAATAGAAACCATGGCAGTCATGGTTTCCTTTGCAAAAAAAATATATTCAGTAAGTTCTTATTACTGTCCCTGTAGTAGAAATACTCAGTTTTATTCCATATACTCAATAATTAAATTTGAAGTTAATTAATGTTTTATATCTTGTCACACAGCACTTACAAATTCTTAGCACATTCCTAGTGCTGAAATCAGTTGCAATCTGTTTTGTCAAATTTCATCTTTATATCTAATGGAATTTTCTTTCTCCTTCTGCTAGTTATCCAGAATTAACATCCTACTCTTAAATAGTGGTACTCTATCTAGTATTCATCCTCTGAGAGCCTCTGATATTTCCCAGGGCTAAAAGGAGAGCAGAGTGTGAGGTTGCCTGCAGAAGATTACCTGCTTGCTGTTGTTACTCTCTAGAGATCAGCAAAGATTGGGGACTACTGCTAGAAAACTGAGGGCTTTTGCTGTGAGGAGGAGAATCGTATCATTTATAGTTTCCTATTTCTGTTTTTTTTTTGCTTAACTTCCATGAAATTAATTCTACTTATGTGTATGTATCTCAGACTTTTGGTGAATTTGAAGAGTCGTATTTCTGGTGTCCTTTTTTTAACCCCGTTACATTGATTTATCTTTAAATTTGCCCGAGTCATCTTTCTATGCTAAAAAGCCAGAATCTTAGCCAAATTGTTGTTTTTTTTAAAAGAAAGTAGTGCTTCTTATTCAGTGTTCCAAAAAATCAGCTGACAAATGCACTAATGAAAATTAAAAACATTGTAGAGTTTGTCTACATTTAAAACTGGGGTTTATGAACATCTATAAAGTAATCCCCATAGTTTAGTTTTCTCACATTTACATGAGTGTTAAACATGAAGAATCGTGTTGTTATTCAAAGTATTAATGGCACTGAAACAAACTGAGCACAGATTGTGATGCAAATGCTTCTTGGTGTTATGAAGAAACAGCAAGAGCCTTTGCAGCTGCTCTTTTCTGGAAAACAAACATTTTGCCTCGCAGCAAAGTGCAGGCCTTGAGAACTGAAATAAACAAATACACATTGTTCTGCGTGATGTTTAAAAGATGTTTATGGTAGAAGATGAACCCAATGAGAAGCAATACTGAAGTCCTGCTACATTGAATGACTGCCCGGCTACGTCTTGTGACTGATGGCATGGCATAGAGTGCCATGAGCATTTGCAAACTCTTCTCTTGTCCCTTGGAATCTTTTTTTTTCAGTGGATTTTCATAAAAGACACTTGCTTAAAATTGTTTTGGAAAATGTGAAGTTATCAGAAACGCAGCATAAAACAAATACATCCGTTATCAGAAAAATACGTGTTTTTTGTAACACTACCACAGTTTTTGGTACTGGACTAGAACAATTAAGCGTTTTCTGCTATCATTAACTACTGTTGGTCTTGCTTAATACATTGTATGTTCTTTAAGTAAGAGAAAAATATTCTATGAAAGCTGTACCTATTTTTTTTCTCCATATTGCAGATCGCCCAGATGAAGTGTGGGGATTTCCCATGTGTCAGTACTTGAAGGACAAGGGGTGGTGCTGTGGTCGCAATGCGAGAATGTCAGCATGCTTGGTATGATTCCCCTTCTTTTCGTTTTCCTACTGAGAACTTTATCCAGATGTTATAGGATTCATTGTTTTTGGCTTCTAATCCTAGAGCCATGACTTTAATCCAAGACTCTACAGAATAACATCATTAATGTTGTAAGCATGATGAATTATATCTAAAAAAATAGTATTGACCTTCCAGCTTTATATATTTTATAGGTGCTGAAGGCATGAAAAAATGAGTATTGACAGAAATGTATTTTAAAAGTGGACAGAAAGGCCAAACCTTTGTTGAAACCTAAACAAGGTAACCCCTCAGGGTAATAGTTCCTGGCCAAGGGCTTAGGGGGAACAAGGTAATTGTAGAAGAATTGCAATCAGTAACTCCCCCAACGCCTTCATTATTCATAATATTGAATGTTCTGACTGTTTAAAACCTAAACAAACCTGTCTATTCCAAAAACTAGAAGAGCTCTAAAATCCATGTGGCTTAAGAGACTGGAAACATCTTTTTAACATTGCACCAAGAGATTAAGTGCTTTTAAAGACCTAACCTCATCAAGACAGGATGACGAACTGTTGTCTAATTTGAAAAAAAAGATATGTACTGAAAATTTCAACCACTGTTTCAGTTAGAAGGCTACTATTCCTTTCTTCTATTAATTTTTAATTTCTCAGATCAAGTTCTGGCTGGCCTCTGCTGCTAGCTCTGTACCTCCATTATGGAGAATAGTTTAGACTAAAGACTCGGTATAGGGTAACATATCAAGGTTATGTAAACTTGAACTAGCATGGTAATTAAATGCTATCAGGAGAAGATATAGGAGGACAGTTGTTTAGTACTCGTAAGGCTTAAATGTGTTACCCTTGGCAAGGTATAAAAAAAAAATATTCCTTTTAGAGATGATGCTGTAAAACTTATCACAAAAAGTGCTTTCTAAAAGTGATTTGCCTTTTCTCTTTCTTGTCAGTGTCATACAATATCAATTCTTCCTCAACTGATACATTAGCTATTTCCTTTCCCATTCCCTTTCTTCTGGAAGGGAAAAGTTTGGGCTGTTTTTCAACAATGGTAGGAAAATAAATTTTGTAAGCAAATGACCTCTAAGAGACAGTACTGATCATGCTATATGTATCTATTTTAGATTTCACAGAAATCACAGAAGTTTGGCAGTTAGAAACTTTTCATTTAAACATTCATGAAAGGCAAGGAGTTCTTCTGTGTGTCACTAGATACTCTACTATTACTATGTCTGTAATTCTCTCTATTCATTTTTCATGACTGGGATTTTCCTTGCCTTCTCAGAGGTACAAGAGACAGAGGGCAGTGCAGCTAGGCACCCACCTTACTAGGGGGAATGGCTGGCTAGGGGAAACTGGGTCTGCTGAGCAATGGCACTCAGCATTATTACTGATGTTCATTAGTACATCTTGTTCAAATTGGTTAAAGCGCCAAGGGCCAAAGATTCTCGACAAGAGTTTGTTTCAGACCCTTACAGTACATGTTAGAACCCACATCTGTATTCTAAGCAGCAGTAGATATATGTTATGAGAGCTATAACTTATGCAGCAGAATTCAAACCTAATAGTTGGCCAAAGCCATGAATGGAGAAACTGCAACTGCTTGGACCATGTTTGAACAGCAGTCTGAAATACAAGATCGATTCTAAAACCAGGAGAAGTGGTGAGTGATTCAGAGACAAGCAGTCCTAGTTACTGTAATGGAGTACCTTTACTAACTTTACCTAGTTACTGTAATGGAGGCATTTTCGGTTTGCTGTCTAATTGTAGTGTCAGATAATTTATTGAATTTTTATCTTCATTTCTACTACTATCTTTAATACTTGGCTGAAATTTTTATAGGCACAATATCTTTTCAACTGTGGAAAAATATTCTACGCTTCTAATTATTTGTCATTCTTTGTCACTATGGATCATAAAAATCAAGTACTCTCATACCTACATAAGGATTTATGGTATGAAGAATCTAGTCAAAGACAGTGCACAGCATTTTAAACAGCAGTCCTTCTGAAGCTTTTATTTTATTTGACTTTACATACAGAAGTTCAGTATTTCTTAATACTGGGGACTAAAAGTATTTAAAGACATTGTACATTGACATTTTATTTTAAAATAGTTGAATATGCAAAGCAAATTATTGTATTTTAGTAGGAGCAAACTCAAGAAATATGGATTTCTTTTTAGCACTTTTGCAGAAAGTAATCCTATGAAATTATTTTACTATACTAACAAAAACAAATTTTGCATGCATCTATTTCCATATAGTCAGTTATTATTGCTTCTCTATAAATAAAGCAAAATAACAGGATTGAGCTGATTATGAGTCCCTAAAGTTATTAACACTTTAAAGTGTGCAAGCTTGTGTTATGTCACACCATTAATCTTTTAAAGTATCATCTCCTCTGACTTCTATACAATGTGTTTATAAAATGTTCTGATAAAGAATAAACATATCAGCAATTTAATTCCTTCACTCTTAAAGGCTTTGGAGCGAGTTGCAGTGGGCCAAATCGTAAGTAATATTGTTTATTTTAGCCATTCTAAGATAAAATGCATTTTTCCCCCTTGAATGCTCTTAATCCATGACCTTTTATTGAACTTCTGCATTTCTGGAATCTGAAATACAGGCATACACTGCATCAAATACTGATAGATAGCATGTGTCATCATGAAATCACATTCTTATTGCTGTGATTGTACTTAGTGAATATGTTTCCTTTTGACAATTAAGTGTCTGGGAAAAAAGCATAACTTGATTTTAAGACATTAAACTACCCTTACTAACTTCGTTTGCTATCTTTCAGCTAATACGTAAACTCAATGCAAATGTCCTTCTGATGTCCCTGGTTTGGATCACTCTATCCCAGTGTTTTATCAACTAGTGTAAAAATAGAAATTGTTATGACAAAAGCTTGAACCTATTAGAAACACCATCATTCTCATTTTTAATCGCTGTAAATTTTTTTCCCTGTGAATACTTTGAATTATTGTTGTGCAAGTTATCCTTTTGGGGATGGTGGACACCAGCTGTGTGGATATTTAAAAGACAAGGCTGAGTGACCTCTTATTTCCATATATAAGCCCACTGACCCCATGCCTTTTACTGCACGTGCATATTGCTGTGAATTTTTAATTGGCAAGCATTAACTATTTTTACGCAAACAGATCTTTCATACACAAAGATATGGTGTTTTCAGTGTATTCTGGTTTTATGAGCGTAGCACTTTCTGCATGGTTCAGACTAGAGTGTAGGATGATTCAGCTAGGGAATTGCTCCTTTTGTCTTTAAAACACCTTAGATAAATTGTTGTGTTTATTTTACATAGTAGAATTTGGTTCATGATTGGTTTGGTTTTCTGCTATTTTTTTTTCCCTTCTGCCAACCTATGAACTTTTACTTCCGAGTTGCATTTATGGTTATGTTAGTATCTGACCCGAAAATGTAATTTTAACTGAATGCAAGAACAATAGTGAATTGTCCTCTTAAACCTGTTATGTCTGATTGTAAAGAATAGAAGCCAATAAGTAGTTAAGGAAGCCAATACTGTTTTTTGTTGCTCTGATCTTAATTTCAATGCCAATTTTAAATCCTTGCTGTTGTAAAATTTTTTGCAGCTGCCCACAGAATCATTGTTTTACCGAGCTGTTCTTCAAGTTATTATAGAAGAAATGTATGGTGTCACCAAAAGGTAGGAAGCTCTGAATTCACAGAATTCAAACCAAAGTTCTGATTCTCTGCCACCTCTGTTCTGTAGAGAAAGTGTTTCTTAGAAAGCAGAAGGGTGTAAGAGTCAGTCTCATCAGACTGTATATACATATTGGTATTAAAATGCAAGATACATTTGTTCATCCTAAATCCACATCGCAAATGTATTGCACTTCCTTTACCCATAGCTGAAGTAGATCCTCTTTGGTATTGGATACATGGATAAAACATATCTTTACCAGAGAAACAATTACAAAAAGTCAATTACTAAAAAGTCAAGTCAATCCTGGGCTACCCTGTTATGGAGAGGTCCTGGCAGCTTCAGCACTGCAAAAGACAAAAAGACATTTCCATTTGTCCTGAGAAAAACTGCTAAAAGCCCAACAGGCAGCATGGCTGTGAAGAGCTACTTACTGCCTATGCCTACACTGGCAAGTACTGCACCCTTGTAGGATAGGATTTGGAGAGCTGGTGCTGAGGACCTGACAGCTGCACTATACTCATTTCCTGGATTTGTAGTTGGATTAGATCTATGCCCGTTAGCACTTGGAACACATTCAGAAGCACGCCTTCCAGTTTAATTTAATTTGAAGATAACCTCTTTTTTGAGTTCTGATTCTATTCCACAGTGTGAACCAAGGCATGAGAGGTGAGGAAAACCAGAAAATTCACTTCAGAAATATACTCCTCATCTAAAATAAGTGCTAATGCAGATACTCCCAAATGTTTTGCTGAATGTAGAGCCAGATAGCTTACCCTTCAGAAGGTCAAACTCCTGAAAGAAGAGATGCTTGTTTATTTTGAAATTACATAAAATATCACACATAAAATCACAGCTACTAGATTGTAAAGAAAAGTGTGAGATAGATGGTAATATGTTGCATTTGTTAAAGGAACTAGGATTTGGAGGAAGTAATTAAGATTAAGCTTTTGAAATAAAAGCAATGGCTACCTTGGAAAGACTCCCACCCCACCTCACCCTCCAGTTTTATTGCTGAGCGTGATGTTACATGGTGTGGAATATACTTATGGTCCATTTGGGTCAGCTGTCCTTGTCATGTCCTCCCACACTTCTTGTGCTCTCCCAGCCTACTTCCTGGGAGGCAGACAGAGAAACAGAGGCAGCCTTGATGCTGTGCAATCACTGTTTGGCAATAGCTGAAACATTGGTGTGTTCCCAGTGCTGTTTTAGTCACAAATCCAAAGCACAGCACTATATGGGCTGCTGTGAAGTTAGCTCCATCCCAGCCAGATCCAGACGACATTTTTCCCCTCTAGCTAGTGATTAGGAGGACAGATGTCCGTCTTTCAAAGAATGACATAACAGCATGATCATTAACTGATGTTCAGACTGCATAAGCCCAAATGTTTAGGCACATCTGAATATTAAATATGATTAAACAAATTAATTTTTTTTAAAAAAATAAATGTAACGCTTGATTCTCAGTGAGTAAGGATCCCTGCCAGCCAAACAGCATTAGAACTGTCACTAAGCAAAGTCTCTCTGTTGACCTCAGTAGATGTTAATCCTGGTCCTTAAATAAAGAGAAAGGGGTTTTACTAAGAATAAAGAGGGGGAAAATTTTTTCCAAAGATATTCCTATTTAGTACTTCACATTTTTTAAGAGTATTTCCTCTTAAGTAATTGAATACTCACAAACAGCTACTGTAGCTGCAAATGTAACTCCTACACAGCACAGCTGGAAGAGGAATTAGGTTAAGGCGAGAAAGTGAATTTGGACTAACAAAAACTGCATGTTGTTTCTCCAAGATATTTTAAACACAGAGAACAAATGTAAGTGGCCTGTTAGGATTCAGTCTTCCTACATGTTTCTGTAAGTTTTCATGCATTATTTTAACATGTTTTCTGAAACAACTCACATTTTTGGCTGGCTTCAAAAGTAGGCCATAGAGTTGTAAACAGGAGAAAATTCTGGCATCCATTATTTATTCCACTTAGTGGAATAAAAATTGTGAGAATAAAAACACAATGTAACAAGCAAAAGTGAAATTTTACTCCAATTTGGTATTTGCTCAGTACAGTGGTTGATAGTAAATAAATTACAGTAGCATTATAATAAATTATAAAAGTATAGAAGAAAATATCTGTCAGCAGAAATAAATTATAATATAACTTATTTATTGCCCTATATAAATTTTCATTTATATAGGGAAATAAAAATATTAGGGAGAAATTAAAAAGAAACCTTCAACTCTCCAACTTTTAGATAAAATAATAACTTTTCTATAACCATAGTACAATTGCACAGTTGCTGTATCTAGAAATTTCTTCCAGTATTAGCTGGCTTGTCTTGTTTTAAGCAAAAGGGGGAGAAAGGAAAATTGTTACTAACTTGGCAGTTTCAGCTGATTTATTTCTCCTGAATTAAAAATGTAATTAAAATGAACTAAAAATGTGTAAATTTCTGTTGTTGGATGTATAAAAGTCTACATCTCAATGCTGTATTTGCAGTGATCGACATGTTGGAAAAACTTTCTCCAAATCATCCTCCTTCATAGATTATGTCAGAAAGTCTCTGAAAAAGCTGGAATTGGATGATTCAAAGGTGAGTCACTAAGTAGAGACTGCATGAAATCCTGATATCCATGTAAGTTCTTGAAGTCAGCACCGCAATGCAACATTTAAGCCACTGAGTTGATTTAGTTTATATATTGCTGTATAAATATAAAGCATTCTAATTTTTATTAGTATAAATAAAGCCAATCTGTACTTATGTGTTAAAAAAAAAAAAACACGAACATATCTTAGAGGTTTTTTTTCATGTTTTTTCAAAATAGACTTCCATGTTTAAATTCTTTAAAAGATCTTGGTTTAAAATTACTTTATTCTGATCACTTCACATAAAATCAATCCTTTTTATATGTGGCGCTCATGATCAGATTTTTTTTAAGCCTTTCTGGTATTTCTGAAGTTAATCCTACAAATCTCCTTTGAGGCAAAAAGAAAATGTAATACATACTCTATTTTATACATGCTGTCATTTAGAGGTAAATATACTTCCAGATGCCAAGTGAAGCAGGCATGAAGAACTTCTTGCCTGTGCTGATACTATACATCCTAATAAAAGTAACTCTTGCACCCTTTTAAATCCAGCTGAAATACTATCCTATACAAACATGTTACTTTTTTGTCTGTACTTAAGTTTAAACTGAAAGTGATCCAAGAAAACATGAATAATGAATCACGTAGTAAACACTTTGACCCCTTTTTATTTTCATTTTTGCTGCGGCAATATTATCTTGATCCCTTTGGACACCTTTTGAAACTGAAAAATGTAACATTATAGCAAGATAGGCAATTCTGTCTGTGCAATTGTTTCTGTTACAATTTAGTTCCCAAAGTATTTCCAATTTATTTTAGCCTTTAGACAGTCTGCTGAAGTAGACTTTTAATATCTTTGAAGGCCTAATGCTGAATATTAAGATTTTTAAATAACTTTCCTAGATAGAGAAGAAGTAAATACAAAATTGAGATTTAAACTTATAAAATCTTCCAGAGATTATTTTATGCTCTTGAGTGTCTTTAGTACTACAACTGCTAACTTGGTCAACAGATGGCAACATAGCATTAGGTATGGAATATGACTGTGTGAAAATCACAACCACTCTGTGAGAACGAGTTGTGCAATGGAGACAGTAGTGAGTATTAGACTGATTATTTAAAATTTTAGTACAAATCAAAGAAAAATGTAGGAGTGGCAAGTATGTAAAATATTTAAGGTAAATGTTGTAGTAGCGTTCAGAAAAGCAATGCTTAAAATCTGTAATCAAAATGTCGAATCACTTAAAATTTGCCAAGTACATCAAACCATGAACTAGGAGAAAAATACAAAACCAAATAAACAAGTAAATGCAAATCATGCTTATAGCATTAAGAAAAAGACATGCCTGAAGTTCACTGCATTTTAAAATGATTATGTTTAATTCTGTTTGCAAATTGAGTTACCTGTTTGCTTTTCTGTATAAGTAGGCACTAACATCACGTGTTCATCCCAGCTGAAAGTAAAACCGCATCTTCCTCATTTATGTGTACAATCACCCAAAAGCAATAGTGGGTTGTTTGTGCAATAATCAGTTTACTGTATCATTGATTAAACTCTGCTGGTAGACAGTTTTACATTCTTTTCTTTGAAACCAGCAAGCATAGAAACTTTGTGTAAATATGTCTGATTTTAGACACGTTGCCTTTTGCTAGAAAGGATCTGGACAAAGGCAAGTTGCCCTGAGAGAAAGATATCTGTCAACACTACTTCAAGCTGCACATGTTTGTGTGGTTGCTAAAGACCTGATTCAAGTAAATGCTAATTTTTGCTTATATTTCTCCTCATTTTTATGTACAGCTGGCTGCATACTGAAGACAGAATTTTATGCTGATATAAACAATGTTATTTTTTATTTGCCGGCTATGTTGAAATCTGCAGCAGCACAAAACCAGTGCTATTTTGATGCTACTGAGAGGAAAGTTGTTACTGCTCCCTCAACAGTGGTTCTGACACTGCAGTTTTCATGGTGGAGTCAGCACTATATCTACACAATATTGGAGAATGTGCTAAATTCCTCTCTTTAGAAAAAAAATACTTACATAGCTAAAAATGTGATGAAGACTAAACATTTGCTCTCAAAGACAACAAAAATCAAAGAAATATTTTTGCAGAATTTGTTTTCTAGCTCTGTTTTTAAAAGTGAACAAAAGAGCAGCTGTACTGCATAAATCAAATGTCTACTCTGTCTCCGGCAGTGGCCAAAAACTGATGCCTTGGGAAGAATATAGATTTATAGAAACATAGAGTGGTTTGAGTTGGAAGGGACCTTAAAGATCATCTAGTTCCAAGCCCCCTGCCATGGGCAGGGAAACCCTCCACTACACCAGGTTGTTCAAAGCCCCATCCAGCCTGGCCTTGAACAATTCCAGGAATGGGGCATCCCCAGGTTTTCTGGGCAACCTGTTCCAGTGCCTCAGCACCCTGAGTGAAGAATTTCTTCCTTAGATCTCATCAAAATCTACCCTCTTTCAATTTAAAGCCATTACTCCTTGTCCTGTCACTACATGCTGTTGTAAAAAGTCCCTCTCCAGCTTTCTTGGAGGCCCCCTTGAAGTACTGGAAGGCTACTAGAGGTCTCCCTGGAGCCTTCTCTTCTCTAGGGAGGAGAAGAGGGTATAAAAGAGTATATAAGGCGAGAGTAAGAATATATGAAGGATACTTCCAGAATAATCTAAAACGTGCCTGTACTTCACAAAAAAAACGGAGGCAGTCATTGTCTTAATAACGTTTATATTTAAGAAGGTTTGGGTTGGTTTTTTTTCTTCAAATACTCTTTATTTAGATGGTGTTAAAAAAAACAGGTAAAAATAATGCTGTGTAGTACAAACAGAGAACTATGAGAAGAAAATTGTTTGCATGTGAGTCACTGGTTTACATGTGCAAAAATATTTTTTTTTAAATATAAGTCAGAAAACTGCGAGTCTCAGGTCTTTTACTATGCTTATCTGAACATTGAAGAGAGTTTAATCTCTGCATGAGAAAAAAATGTACCGGGAAGTAGAGAGGTAATGGCACTAAGTTTTTAGTAGGCACTGCCAGGGCTTGGGAGCTTGGCATGTATGGTGAAGTCACGGATGTTTTTGATCCCTGTGCATGAATCTGGACTGTGAGATATAAATATCCTTCTGAACTCGTGGTTCATGATGAGCATCACAGCTGCTTCCTTTGTACACACCAGTGTCTCCGTTCCTGATCAAGGAGTAGCCCTGGTGCAATGCAGTTATTTTCCAGTCTGGCCAAATGTGGGGCAGGATAAAGAGAGCAAACACATAAGATGCTTAACCTGCCTTGATACTCGTTTATGTAACCGTACGCCTTTTGCTAAATATAGAACTGACAAAGACTCTTACCAGGTATAAATATCCAAACAGTAACTTGATTTTTGCTATTATTTTTCACTAAAGTTCTTTAATCCTGCCAACTCTTCCTGTGAACAACCCCCTCTGCCTCTCTCATTTGTGAAATAGATATGAAGATCTTTGCTTATTTGAAATCAGAACCAGATCCTTTATGAAAATGTTGTCAATCAGAACTGAGTAAAAGTGAGACAAAATAGTAAAACAGTTTTTGTACGAGAAAAGAAGCATTTATCAATCACCTAGCACTCTTCATTGTTACAAGTTACTGTTCAGGGACTGAAGTTTCCTATTACCTTAGCCAAAATAATTTCCTCCATTGCCTTTCTTTTCAATGTGGAAAAGCCTGTCAAGTCCAGATTAAACACTGAGATGCAAATGAACTATTTTTTCTGCCTTTTGGTACAGGACTGTTCCTTTCATTCATCTTTCTACCTCAGTAGTAAAAGTGAGACATACACCACAACTACTGATTATCTGACAAAATATTCTCATTTTGTGGGGACAGAGAGAGGTCTTTTCGTGTGAGCTTGATGCTTCACAGGTATGGTTATATTGCTTCTAGCTCCAGAACTAATGGAATTGGATTGTGGGCCATGGATCCCTGCACAGGGCTTCAGTAACTCGTGTGGATATGTACCAAGGCAATTTTTTTATTCCTGATTGTTTTCTTTGTCATAGCTCACTCTGTTCCTGTACACTACGTGCTGTATGGGACAAAGTGTTCAGTGGCACATAGATATAGGAGAAATTCTTTCTATCAGAAGATTTCTTTTCCCTTTTAGTCACTGTTTTACCTAATTTAACATGAATGTGGGACTGTCACTTGAGAGAATGAAGCATTCATCCCTGTTCTTTCTCCTAGAGGGGCTGGCCACTCTTACACTTGTTAACTTGCTTCTTTCAAACAGCAAGAACAATCACTCCTGCCTTTTCAGCAGAGCGTGTTTCAGCTCTGTTTGTAGCTGCCTTGCAGACGAATTTAAAACAAAGCCTCTTTATTAATACCTTTGGTTGCTGCTTAAGACAATAAGTGCTAAAATGGCATTGCCACAGCAAAAAGTCTTTGTATAAACATTTATGTATTTCTAGAGTATTTGAAGAAAAAAAACCAAAACCTTCTTAAATTACCTGATGTCCTATACTTACTGGGGGAGATTAGTAAAAGATCTTTCATAGGGGCTGGCGTTAAGGTGATTAAAGGGAGAAAGTGCTTACAAAGCTAAGGCGTGGATCTATGTCTGGCAGACTTTGTGATCTATGACCCAGCTAGGATCCATTTCTGCTAGGAAGTCAGAGCCTCAGCGGGTGGAGCTGTTTAACAAAGAGAAGCTGGCCAGGATTAATGTAAAATGCAGTCTGGGAATAAGGAGAGAATGCTATTTAATGCCACGTCCGATTGCAGGAAGATATGCAGGGCTGGAAACACTTCTGACACATCCACGAAGAAAAGCTATTAGTCACTTTGATTTCATCTCCTGCTATATTCACGCTATAGTTACTGCTATGTGCTAATAGCATATGAGGTAGTTACTTTGTCTTAGTCAAAATACTTCACAAGTCACTTAACCCTTTCAGATGTAGGCATATGCTGGGGAGATACAACAGCAATTTCAGAGGTAGGGTCACCTTAAGCTTTCACACACA